AGAGGGTCGAGGACAAGAAGACGAGCTCCATGTAATATCAATAACTGTGATATTGACATTGAGACTGTAGAAGGAGCAATTCGCTAGGACTTTTATAACATTTTTATATGTTTTAGATCTCCGTATAGACTGTCTCGCCCTTTTTTTAAGGATATATATATWTTTTCTTTCTTTTCTCTATATAAAATTTCTATAATATTATTATATATTTTGTATTTTTATAAGATTTGAATTTAGCTTTTTATTAGATCAAGCCTATTTCTAACAATTCTAGACAACTATTAGATTATTATTAGTTTTTTTGGTGAATACATCAGCCAACTTTTGATTATCGTCTAGGTATTAGGTGTATATTAAATTAAAATTATTAGCTATTATTAAGAGTTAGGATTAATATTAAGATTATTACAAGGATTATCATTGATATTATTTTTAAGTACTATTTCGATTTTCATTAGGACTATCATCAATTAATATCATTTTCAAACGCTTATGTTTCCAGGCAATAACGTTGGCTTGCTATTTATAGTTCATCAATAAAGTATGATAATAATAATGATAATAATATAATAATAATTTTCTATTTCAGATTCAGTCACCAAAAACTAAACGTCCAAAATGGAAAAATTCGGAATCCCTCATGTTATCACAGTGATATTATATTACTTACCACGCTTAGACAGTTCCGCTGGAGACAGTTCCGCTGGAACTGCTAGTGAAGCTACAAACAATGAAGCAACGGCAACCAGGAAAAGGAATCGTTGAGCAGACATGATGGCTTCGATTTAATTCGATCTTGAAGAGAGAAAAAATACACTAAAGAGCTTATTCCGAATATATGGCACTGCAGAGAACTTTGCTATATAGAACTAAAACACTGGTAATATCTCATTTTGAAGCAGCAAAGTCTATCTGAGAATTTTAAGGTGTTTCCTTCTGTTTTCAAACTTCCACATCTCAATTTTTGATTTTACAATAACTTACAAATTTCTCGCGCGCTGATTGGTTATTTTTTTATCATCAATAAGAGGACAGACAGATAAAGCTGACGTCAACGAGCGCGCGCTCTTTCCGTTGGTTGTTTTGATCACTAAAAATGAGAAGTTTTTATCGTTTTTGTTATTGTAAAAAACAAATAGACATCAGTTTTGTATGTGTCTGTCCTCTTATTGACAATAAATTTCGTCATCACATTGTCAAAATAGTATGCGGATCCACTCGGATGACGCAATTTATCGTCAATAAGAGGACAGACACATACAAAACTTATGTCTATTTGTTAAATGGCCGTTTAACTTATTTCTTGTTTTCTGTCAATGAACTGTTATAAAAATTAATACAAAACATTTTAGTTAGATTGAAATATTAGAAAAATCAATTTTGAAGAAATTCACGGGAATAGTTCAGTAAAATCACCATTGTACTATCGAATGTGGCGAATTGAGCAATAGTTTAAAAAAATAGAATAAAAATATATTCGCATGGTTTCTTTGCGTTTCTTCACCTCTTCAACTGTTGTTCGTCCTTTATGCTTTCCTTCTTTTCTATTCAATACAACAAATGTGTACAAAAACGTAAACATACCTTGTTTGAAGGTTTTTGGAGTTCTTTCTTGTGTCCGTGGTAAACAGGAGCAACTGATGTCCTCTCCTAAAAGACTGCCTGTTAAATAGCATACCTTATCTGACTCGGTCAAAGTGATTGGGTTAGTAATTTGATCATACTCGTTTTCATCTCATTGGCTGTAAGCTTCTGATTGACAAGCTGACAGTTTTAATGATTGAATAGAAATTAAACCGTTATCGCACTGCAAGTTACAATGATAGTGAAAAGCAAAATATAAAGAATCTTTGGCCATCGCTAACTTCGGTTCTTGTGCATTAAYATTTGCCATTATCTATCCGAGTTTCTTTTCATTTTTCATTTTTAATAAACCAATATAAAAATGAAAGAAGAAATGACTTCTTCATGTCGTCGCTTCCTCCCTTCGTCTCACCCTTCCACCGTCTTGCTACCCCACTGCCTGCTCCCCGTTGGTCTTACATTATTCTAAAATTTGAATTATCTAGAGATGTAATGAATCAATAGAAATTAAACAATTATCGCACCGCAGGCAAGTGACAATGACATGAATTTAAGGCACAATATAATCATTCTTTGGTCATTTTGTTTTTTACTACATTTCCAACTCTCCACAATTAATAACTTTGCTATAAGATAAATAAATGATATCAGCTGCCATTTCTTGGTAAAGAAAGAAATAAATAAATGAAAGAAACGATATGACTTATTTATGCCGTTCTTTCTTTCCTTCGTCTCGACCTTCCACCCTTCCTTTGTCCTGCCATCGAACCCTTCCTCCCCGCACGCGATATATTTTTCTAAATTATCTAACGTTTCTCTTAAGTGAAAGTAAGATGAAATTACTCATGGCATCAAAAACATCACTGAAAGCTACTGTTTGATAGTTATATGTTTGTAGGCCCTTTAGTACTCAGAAGTGATTTTATGCTAATCACTTCAGTTAGATTGTTATCGTATAATCGAAATTTCAGTCGAAATGTTTCTGAAAATCAGACCAGGTCACAAAGCCGGAAAGGAAACTGAGGTCCGTGAACGAGTGCTTACGGGTGTAAGCGAGAGCAATGAAGAAATACTTATTTTTTTGTCGTATATTATTTTTACTCATTGTCACTTGCCTGCGGTGCGATAATTGTTTAATTTCTATTGATTCATTACATCTCTAGATAATTCAAATTTTAGAATAATGTAGAAGTGTAGAAGATACCACAGTAGGCTCGCCGAACTAATTGCCAACAAGAAAGGAGAAGATTATGCCACCACTGTATCCTG